ATCTCGAGAGATCCGCTTTCTCGAGTAAAAGTTCTGCTCGGTTTTCATCACGCTTTCTTCAATCGATCAAGTGAGTTCATACCCCTTTCAAACACACTTTAAATACATTTTAAATGCTTTTATACTCTTTTAGGGGGGAATACAAGTAAACATAGGGTTATTATCGTGTATTTTATAAAGTTTCACTTCACTTGTTTTATCGAATAAATCACTTGGAACTCATTACTATTATGGAAAACTCTTGTCATACTTTGCGTGCATTAGACATTATACAAAGTATATAATGATTTCAAAGTACCTTTCATTGTTAAGTCGTTTTATACATTCTAAAAACTTATGATTTTGCTTTGTCAAACATTGTGAAAAAGGATAAACTTTGCATACAAAACTATCACTTTAATACAGACTTAGTTGAGAATCCATGAGACGTGTATATCTTCAAACGTTAATTTTCTTTATTAGAAAGTAATGCTGCAAGTCCTGTCTACAACCAGAGTCTACCGTTCGGAGAACGTGTCAAATGTGTATAGATCTATACGGGAAGTCATGATCCCGCGCCCTGACTGTTAGCTACAGTCCGTCTTTTGGGGTGACAGCTGTTATAACGCTGCGACGCCTGAAGAACGTCGTTACAGGCATATTATGTTTAGTATGGTTATAAAACTCATCGGATATACAATTATTATGGTATTATGCTTTTATGAACGAGTAGCTATTAAAACTATTCTTCATCTAACAAATGCGATCTTCGTATAGCTTTATTATATAAAACTATGACACAACTTTTAAGAACGTCGGTTTCTTGTGATTTTCGGTCTTAGAGACTGCCAGTTATGTTAGGAAAATAAGAGTTTTTCCTGTATACAAACCAAACAACTAATAGGAAAATAAGGGATTTTCCTGGTGCAATTATTTACAACTTATAACACGAACATTCATATGCATTTCATACTTTCATAAGAAAATAAGGGTTTTTCTTGGAAAACACAACAAATTCATACCTCAACCATTAGGGAAAATATGGGATTTTCTGGATCTAATACATTCACTTTCAACACAACAAATCACAACTCTTTACATTTGAAATACTGCGTTTTCTGGAAAACATACACGAACTTTCGAATGGCGTACATTTTCTCAAAACACTACTCATGAACTCACCAACTTAATTGTTGACACTTTCTCTTTGAAATAACTTGTATTCTCAGGGAACCGCTAAGCAGATTGGAAATCAACTTTTGGGGATTAACGTACTGACGTTAATTACTTCTTTTGAAAGATGTTTATATATTTAACTTTTGAACATGTAACGAATACAATTATGTAAACATTTTGGAAACTTTAATATATATGGTGGTGTGTACTTTCCTTTCTATGAACTGTTATGATACTGAATATGACGTCCTCCGCCCCCGAACAATTCCGCCGTTCTGGTTTGGGGGTGTGACACCCTTTCCTTGCACTCTTCAACCACCTCTTTCTTCTTCTAAGCTCCAAACCTTCTTCACAAAGCCAAAAGCACTCTTAAGAACAATATGGGGGCTAGGGTCTCGCTTCTACTGCTCTCTGGAAGTGTTAGGGACAAAGGAGGCCAAGTTAGAGCGTTTAAATAGGGTGCAAACACCCGGATTAGGGTTTTTGCCCAAACAGGGTCTACTCGCCGAGTCCGGGGACTGACTCGCCGAGTCCAAGGTCCAATTCCCGCGCCTTATCCCACTCCTACTCGGCGAGTTGGCCCATCAACTCACCAAGTCCAAGGCAAAATGCATTATTTTAAAAATGTAAATAACAAGGAGTACGTACCAGGAACCAGGTGCTACAGCCTTTTTCCGTGTTTTTCAATGTTTTCAGGGGGGAATACAAGCAAACTATAAATGTTTTTAAAACCTAAAACCGATGTATTTTTATAAATATCTGGCTAACTTTTAGATATCTTTATCCCTTATGTATTATGTGGAGCATAAGGGATGTTTTACTGAATATAAATACATGGTTTTCAATTACAGTAAAGGAAACAATCAAAACAGTCAAATTATTATGGGAATAATTTGGGATCTTCAGTTCTTGTTTTACGAGCATAGATTTATGTAAAGATAATAGATAAACTATGTCTGATTCAGTTTATCTTTGTTTAATTTAGAGTATTATGCCAGATAATTTCATTGTATTAAACTGTATTTACTGTATTATGTTTCAAAACGATTAGTATGTTTGATAACAACCGAGAACATCGTGAATAATTTAATACTAGCTTGTGAGATTCGTCTTCATTAAACCCTTTGGGTTATCAGTAAATCTTCACCGGAAGTGTAACTAGAGTCTCCTGGAGGGAGAGCGTGGAATTTGTGAATAGATCTATTCGGGGATTGATAATCCCACACCTAAACTGCTAGCTACAGTTAGGCGGGCACGCCTAGGGTGACAAATTCTGGATATCGTCCGACGCCTGAAGAATGTCAAGGAGGTCTTGTGGTCATATTAGCATGGTTAACCGATTCACAATACGTATTAATATAAGTTTATTCACTGATTTTCATATCTATCTTTGATCTATAGAATTTATATCTAGTACGAGATGGTATTCCCATGGTCTTTATATCTAGTATGGGATGGTATTCCCATGGTTTTTATATCTAATACGAGATGGTAATCCCATGGCTTTCAATCTATAGCTTTAGTGTATTAAAAACTACCTTATATCTAGTACGGGATGGTATTCCCATGGTTTTAAATTTATATTTTTATGTATTAAAAATATCTACTTTTGTACTGGATGGTATTCCCAGTGGTTTTCAATATTTAGTTTTATGTATTAAACTATACACTGATGTATTTAACGGAAATTCAAAACTTTAACTAAACTATCTTTATAAGAAAATATGGGATTTTCTTGGATAAAAACTTTTTAGAAAACCAAAGGAAACATGTTCATTTTCAGAAAACAAAACACTTATGAACTCACCAGCTTTATGCTGATTTTTAAACTGCTTGTATTCTCAGGTTCTCCTTAGACAGGTATCCCGCGTCCTTTTGCAGAAGACGGAGCAGATGGAATTCTCGTCTTTACTTTTGTTTAATCTTATGTAACTAAAACTTGTATTACTTTGCTTTTCCACTTTCAAACAAATGTAATGAATGTATGTAATGTAATGTTTCGTGTTTACTATGCTTACTATGTACATTGGTTGTGATACTTTACATGACGTCGTCCGCCCCGGAACGTTTCCGCCATCGGTTTTGGGGTGTGACAAAAAGGGTTCACAATCACCAAGAAGAAGTGTGTGTTCTTGGTGAAATGGATGAAGATTTGAAGATCTAGCCAAAAGATGATTTCCATGGATGAAATCAAAGGGTGTTAATAGGAGAAGAAGAAGGATAACAACAAATCAAAACGGAAGAAAGGCTTACATTCTTGAAGATCGGGATGAAAGCTCGATGATAGTTGAGAGAGAAATCGAGTTCTTGGCTTGGAAACTGAAGAAAGGACTTAGGAATGAAGGGATAACACTCTTATGGAGGGGGTGCACGACCAACATGGGTGTATGGCTGCACACACGTGTACGACCGTACACTCCCTCACATGGAGTGTTCGACTTGATTTCAACGCAAAGAACTTACGCAACTCGATCCTATACCAAATGCTTAAATGTACTGAGCTTTGAACCCTTAAACGGACTCTAAACAAGGCTAAAAGATAGCATAAACGAGTTTGACACACTGTTGGATTAAATGTGTGGACTTTACAAAGAAAAAAAATTTCGGGTTGTCACACTAGCCCACTAGTAGTTGATTATAGTTGAGATGATTGTCTTTGTGATAATTCTCTAGTTGAGATGATTGTCTTTGTGATAATTCTCTGGTATGCCACTATCTGTTATGTGTTATGTGCTAGTATGCCGGTATGCTATGTTTAATGTGATAGTGGTAGTAGGAGGGGAATAGTCCCCGTGTTACGGTCGTAAGGATCGAAGGGTAGGTCAGGCACCCCAGATATGCCTGACAGTATGTTTATGCTATGTTATTATGTGGTCATCTTGGATATTTAACTTTTGTCCCTTTTTTTGTTATATTAGATGCTACATGTATTGAATGGTATATTGCATATGTTGCAAATACCACATTTTCATTAAATTTGAACACCAATTGAGAACACCACATTATGATTACACAACATATTGTAACTGGAATTAAAGGTTGTTTCATAATACAAATAGCAATACAAAATACACATAACAAAAGACTAAGAACTTCATTACTAAACTTACACTTTATATATAAGGACCGAAAAAAACCAACTAATAACTAGGTAAAACTTCAATTTGCGATTTTGTTCTTCAGGTTTCATCCTAAACTCTATACAATCACAGTCCTGATCATAATCATTCACCCATCTTATAAACTTGCATAATGGTCCTTGGACAAATTTAAGAAGATCAAGAATTAGGGTAAAATTAGAGAATATGAAGAACGAAATTAAAATCATTACCCTTACCTTTACTGTACAAGCATAGTAGAGTTTCCCACGGTTTCTTTTGCTATAAGATGTGTGAATCAACGCAGTGGCTCCACAATTGCATTTAATATCGATCATTGTTATCAAGTTGGAAGAAATCGATTGAACAAAAGGGGAGACGATAACAGAGGAAACGAGGGATGAAATGTTTTGTAAGCTTTTAAGGTGCAATGACATTAAAAAGGGACTTAAACCTTGAAAAAACGAAAATGCCCCTGCATGCAAGGCACATGGGGAGCTTAAACAAAAGCATTTAATGGTTAACGTTTATATAGTCTAACCGTACAAGAAAAATAACAACCAGTGATTGCCCAAGTTAATTATTGAAAAAATGAACTAAAGACACTTTCTAACATGCATAAGAGGGACCTAATTTACCCTTTAACCTTATTTGGATTTTAATGGAACTTATTTAGATTTTAACATAACAGTGCTTTGGTTTAATTGGCATAGTCGTGTAAGAAAGTGCAAATATTTAATTAAATACGTTTCAAATTGTATGTGAGTGAGAGAGAACTCGCTTGCTTTCCACATTCAAATCGCACATTCTTCTAGAGAGAGAAAGCAGCTCAGAGATCTGAGGTGATTCCAATCCAGAGAGAGAAAACAAGCATTCCATTCTTCACCTAGTTGACACACTCTGTCTCTTTCTAACTACTATACGCGAAAATTTGTAAATAAATCTCTATATATACATACATGCACATCTACTACACTGTATGTATGTTTGAGAAACCCTAGAAGATAAAGGCTTTTATGTCGAATTGATTCATGTGTGAGTAAGTTCAGATCGGAGTGATGGAGGATGTATCCGGCGGCGGTGGTGTCGGAGGAATGACGGACATGCCGGAAATGTTGCAAGGAGGTGAGTACAGCGGCGGCAATGTACGGCCTCCGATGGCTGAGACGACGCCGTTGACGGTGTCAGGCTCTTTTAGGGAAGGCGGGGGGAGGGGTTCGGGTATGACTAGTCGTAGGAGGAGCTCGAGGAGACCGAGCTTAGACACTGATGACTTTATAAATCTGCTCCACGGGTCGGATCCGGTAAAGCTGGAGCTCAATCGGTTGGAAAATGAAGTTAGAGGTGAGTAATGTGAATTGATCCGTATGGACCAACTAACTAATTTTCTAGTTGTTTCATTTGATATATTTTAGAATTTTTAAGCTCACCGACGGGGGATTCACTTGACTTTTCTGCAGATAAGGATAGAGAGTTGAGCGAAGCACAAGCGGAGATCAAGGCGCTCAAGCTGTCTGAACGCCTAAGAGAGAAAGCTGTTGAAGAGGTTATAATTTCATCATCTATTTTCTAATTTAATTGGACGCAATGTGGAGTCTTGATAGGCCAGATGTTTGAATTTGAATGCTAGTTGGATTCAGCTGCCTGTTTCAATCTATAATCGGCTTGGATAATTGTGTTTCTGTTTTGCTTATTAAATGAAGCATAACTGTCATCTGCATATTCATATTCTATTGTATTTGTTCTGTTCATAACTTCCACCCAAAGGAAGGATCCTACCTGTGGGGCATCTGGATTTTAAATGTTAATCTTGTGCATTGCGAAAAGTCTTGGTATGTCATTGTTGGTTAGACATTTAGCATGATTTTGGAATTTAATTTCCTGATTTAGATCATTAGATGCAGGGTAATTATTTCCTTTCTGTGTTTGTGGGATGGTCAATGGTGTGTAGACCTTTAATGAAAGCACCCTGGCATGCACCTGTCAATTATGTTTCTTTGATTTGCCAAAAATGCTGAAATTAAGTATTTGACAGGCTAGATGATGCCTTGTGAAAAATCTTTGATAATCGAATAATGCTGGTACTTACTGTTTGTTGTGTTCCATTTCATCTCTTGTGAATCATATGTGTAGTTGGAGAGTTAAACTGACAAAATCTTGTCTTGTTGGCTTAGCTAACTGAAGAATTGTCGAAGGTGGACGAGAAGCTGAAGTTGACAGAATCTCTTCTAGATACCAAAGTATTGACCAAAGCACTTGTATCTCTGTTGCTTTATTTATTTATTTATCAGATAGCATTTGATATGATAGATTTGGTTTTTGGGTATTGCAATGTAGACTCTTGAAATCAAGAAAATCAATGATGAGAAGAAAGCATCAATGGCGGCTCAGTTTGCAGCAGAAGCCACTCTTCGGAGGGTTCATGCTGCTCAAAAAGACGATGATATGCCTCCAATTGAGGCAATCCTTGCACCACTAGAAGCTGAACTAAAGCTTGCTCGACAAGAGGTTTGCAGCTCAAGACTCTTCTCTTTTAGTCTTTTGTCATCAGTAGTTCGAATGCATCCTAAAAGCAATACAAGTACAACCTGTTCTGCATTGCAGGAAAATTTAAACATTTATAGTTTTACCCTTTTTTGGGTTTCAGATTGCTAAGCTGCAGGATGACAATAAAGCATTAGATCGATTGACTAAATCAAAAGAGGCTGCTCTACTTGAAGCTGAGAGAACTGTGCAGGTTGCCTTGGCAAAGGCTTCAATGGTGGATGATCTTCAGAATAAGAACCAGGAGTTGATGAAGCAAATAGAAATTTGCCAGGTATGCGGTATCACTTAGGCCTTTAATTGGTCATCCTCATTTTCCAATATGGCTAAATTCAAGAAATAACTACCAACTTTCATTTATAACCTACTTCCATTTCTTTCTATTACAAAATTTTACCTTGAAATTATATATAGCATTGCACATTTGTACTTCAAAAGTTTAGGTAGATTTTTCAAAACACAATGGAAGAAATAAAAGTATTTTTCTATTTGTTGCATTTTTTAACCAATAAATATTATTATGCATATGTTTAATCTTTGTCAGGAGGAAAATAAAATTTTGGATAAAATGCATCGACAAAAAGTGGCTGAGGTGGAAAAGCTTACTCAAACTGTACGTGAACTTGAAGAGGCTGTTCTTGCTGGTGGTGCCGCTGCAAATGCTGTGAGGGATTATCAGCGCAAAGTTCAAGAGATGAATGTAAATGCCATCTTTATAAATTGACTGTTTTGCCCCCAGGGTGTAGCACATTTACCCAGAGCTATAACAATATTGAAAGTTGCTTTGTATTTGAGTAAATTTATTAATAGGAAGAAATGAAAGTAGATTGCTAATTGTTATTTGTTAAAATGTATAGGAGGAGCGCAAAACTCTGGATCGGGAGCTAGCTCGTGCAAAGGTTACAGCAAATAGAGTGGCAACAGTAGTAGCTAATGAATGGAAAGATGCTAATGACAAAGTTATGCCAGTTAAACAATGGCTTGAAGAAAGAAGGTTCTTGCAGGTAGGACTATTATTTCTGTTAAATATTTATTTCTAAGCAGTAGACAATATTCTATTCTTAATGTTAACAGGGTGAGATGCAACAACTGCGGGACAAATTAGCTATAACAGAGCGTGCGGCAAAGTCTGAAGCACAACTGAAAGTAATTTGCTTTGTTACATGCATTTCATTGACAAAAATTACTATTTTTATCCCATTGACATTAGCTAAATAAATAAAGCTGAACAACTTGTTTAGATGGCCTAGGACAAGCTTTCTAGGGTTATCTTTTGATGAGGAGGGCATTTTTTTAGAATGAGTCCTAGTCCCTAGTCTATTGCAATTTTTGTCAGTCATAATCCTTGCTTTTTTTTTTGGCCCATCCTTTTCCCACTTTCATTGAAATTTTTTTATTTTCTTTCCACCTTTTTCTACCTTGTTGGGTGTGTTGTAGTATTGACATCAGTCTCATCCCTGTCCCACCTCCACATTGTTTTACGACAAAAAGTTGCGAGTATCTGTCCCTGTCCTAGCCTAATGCACGCGTACACGATGTTCTATGTTGGGTAGGGGTAACAATTAACAAACTCCTTTTAATTTCTAACAGGAGAAATTCCAATTGCGACTGAGAGTACTGGAAGACACTTTGAGATCACCCAACTCTCTTTCTCTTTCTCGTAGCTCAGCACCCATGGGCATGAGCAATGGTGCTTCGCGTCGTCAGTCCTTAGGTGGAGCGGATAACTTTTCAAAATTATCTCCAAACTTACCCAAAAGATCACCATCTTTTCAAATAAGATCATCTGGTTCCAGTTCAATTTTGAGGCATGCTAAAGGGACATCAAAGTCATTTGATGGTGGTACACGGACACTTGATAGGAGTAAACTTATTTCAAATGGAACAAGTGGGAGTGGGAGTCCTACTTTTAACCTTGGCCAAACGTGTGAGGGAACTAAGGATACTGAAATTCTGCATGAAAAACCAGCTGCCTCCTTGGAGGATAGTGTGCCAGGAGTTTTGTATGATTTGCTTCAGAAAGAGGTGGTTTCTTTGAGGAAAGCCGGTTATGAAAAGGATCAGAGCATAAAAGACAAGGATGATGCCATTGAGGTTAGTGCTTGCCTTTGTTATTTATCATGTTGTACTAAATCCAAGATGGAATGGAATAGTAGAGCACTACAAGTCTACAACCGAAAGAAAAAAAAATCTTGGTTCTCTGGCACATAGGAATCTCATTCGTTCCTGATTACTTTCATTGCTTCAATATATTACTTTTACAACAGACCAAGGACTTGAAACGCATCTTTTGTCTTGTTTGTTGGCTTTAATGCCATTAAAGAAAATAGAGAAAAAATGGAATTGATTTTTTTTTTTTTAATGTTATTTTTCAAAAATGACTAGGATTTTTTTTATTCATCAAATTTCTTGGTATTCAATCTAATTTAACTTTTTATCAAACAAAATTTATACCTTTTATTTATATAATTTTCAAAATAAAATGAATCAGATTAATTTTGTTATTCTTTAGAAATTACTATTTTTTTTTTATAATAATATTAGATTTCATAGTCTTTAAGTTTTTTATTTTTATTTTTGTAAACGATTTATTTTTAAAGTGACAAATAAGTTTTCTTTTAACCGTTTGAAGGTAAGATACAATATGTTTATATGTAATTTGTGCATTACTTTGACTAAATTTTACATAAATAAAATATGATTTTTGTCTTGTTTTATCAATTTAAGTTGCTGAGCAAACAACCTGTTTCAATGACTCATTCCGTTTAAGCCAAATGAACATGATAATGGAATGGAATGTAACGATCCTTTCCATTCCTTGATACGAAATAGACCATTATTGTTTGTTATATAATTTAATTTGTAATATTGGGTTCTTTCAGATGTTAGCGAAGAAAGTAGACACGTTAACCAAGGCTATGGAGGTTGAGGCGAAAAAGATGAGAAGAGAGGTGGCTGCAATGGAGAAGGAAGTAGCTGCTATGCGTGTTGACAAGGAACAGGACAATAGGGCAAAACGCTTCACCAACACCTCTCACCTACATCCCGCCAGGTCTGCTCTTCTCTTCTCTTTTCTTTCTTTCTTTCTTTTACCTATTTTTGTCCTATTCACATCAGTATCAGTCTCAGTCCAAATGCTGCATGACCAATAACATGTTTTGTTCTGTATGCAGGAATGTGGCACGGAGTGGGTTGACACGGGGTACCCAATGACATGAGTAGATTGGTTCAACCTGTGTTTTTACAATTTTACCCTTTTTAACATGATCCATTGGTTATTATTATTATTATATATATTATAAAGATAAAAAAAAACAAGAGGTGTTTTCTTTTCGGTAGAAGAAATCAGCACACAGAAAAGAATGGAGTGGATGGAGCTAACCAGTGTCGGTGTCCGTCAGTGTGGTTATTGTATAGGTTTGTAGTGTGGTTTTTGGTTTCTTTTTTGGTCAATATTTTGCTGTCTGTCTGACTGTTATCAGATGGAGGTTCTAGGTCTTAATCTTAATACATTTATTTTTCTGATTACCTATACTTTACCTTAGTTTCTACTTTGTAGTTTCCACTATCAGTATCAGTATCAATCAATGCATCTAGAGTGATTTATTTGTGTTGTGCATCATGCAATATCACATGTACATTATGTACAATACTTAAAATACTTATGCTTTGTGGCGATGTCATGTTCCTGTTAGGGAGTATACCGTCGGTGGAAGTATACCGGCGGTGAAATAAAGTATGAGGGGGCGGTGTTTACTGTCGGTAAACATGTTAAATCAGCATACTGGTGGTAAAAATTGTATGATACCCTACAGCCTGATAGTTGTAAACTAGAAAGTAAAAATTGTATGATACCCTACAGCCTAATAGTTGTAAACTAGAAAGAGATCAAAGGTGAAAATAACTTATTTTGTGTACTTTACGAGTAGGTGACACAAACCTATGTATAAAGGCTGGATCTCTTGTCTTAGGAAACCCTATGAATCTATTGAGCTAAGTAGGCCAAAATTAATATATACAATATTTACATTCTAATCTCAAACTATATCATTGATGTTATAGTCGTGTCCAACTTTGTTACAAATACCAAAATCCATAAATTAGGTAAAGCTTTGGTGTAAACCTCATCTGGTTGACTTCCTACTGGAACATAAGAGTATATCTTCTAGTTTTCCATGTGTGAAAATAGAAGGGCATTTATTTGATGGCTTAGGATAAGCTTTTTAAGGTTATTTTTTATGAGGAGGATATTTTTTTAGAACGAGTCATAGTCCCTAATTTATTGTAATTTTTGTCAGTCATAATCCTTGCTTTTTATTTCTTTTTGGCCCATCCTTTTCCCACTTTCATTGAATTTTTTTATTTTTGTTCCACATTTTTACCTTGTTGGGTGTGTTGTTGTATTGACATCAGTCTCATCCCTATCCCACCTCCACATTGTTTTACAACAAAAAGTTGCGATTATCTGTCCCTGAATGCACGCATACAACATGTTCTATGTTGGGTAGGGGTAATAAACTCCTTTTAATTTTTAACAGAAGAAATTTCAATTGCGACTGAGAGTACTGGAAGACACTTTGAGATCACCCAACTCTCTTTCTCTTTCTCGTAGCTCAGCACCCATGGGCATGAGCAATGGTGCTTCGCATCGTGAGTCCTTAGGTGGAGCGGATAACTTTTCAAAATTATCTCCAAATTTACTCAAAAGATTACCATCTTTTCAAATAAGATCATCTGATTCCAGTTCAAGTTTGAGGCATGCTAAAGGGACATCTTCATCTATATCATCTCAACCTTCATAATCTTTTCTAAACGAATTATCTCCTACATCTTTAACTCTAAACACCACGAATTGACCATAAACAGTCAACAATTTCTTTTTTGCACAATCTTAAATATGTCAAATGTATATACCATAGCTATATGTTTCTCTATTGATAAACATGTTTCAAACACACGAGTGGTTATTATTGAGTTAAAGTGTAACACTTGTTTCCAAAATAGATTGGTTGAAGGCTTGAGGGATTAAAAGTAAGGTTTTTAGGAAAAGCCTTGTGACATGACGTAGTGAATGGGGTACCACGACGTGGCATGTAAAATGCTTAAATTGTGCATCTGATGGCCGCCATGATGTGGCTACTGGATTAAGTGTCTAAGCTCATAACTATATTTTGTATGTACTTGCTCCGATTGTAGCATGGTCCTTTTGGGTTGCCTTCACCGAAGCAACTTGACTGGATGAATTATAGAGAAGAGAAAAAGGTTATTATGGTTTATTAATATATTATATGAATAATATATTAAAAAATAAATCATATTGGTTAATTAATATTGGTCAAGAATTAATTAGGAATTAATTTTGTGATCATAAGATATTAGTTAAAGCTAGGGGACTGATATTGTAATTATTGGATAGTTGCAAAGTAGGCTGAGGAAACCCTAATGATAGGGTGGAAAAATTCTTATGGATAAGGCCTTAAGAATTCGTCCAAAGGAGGATTCCAGAAGGATCTTATGGGCTGCTTTGAGCCTAAGCAACCGGATAAGTGTTTGACTGAAACCCTAACTCCTCACCTATATAAGGATCCTCCTGGCCACCTAAAATCGGCCACACAATAATCCTAAGAGTTCTAGGAGCCGATTTTTAGCCTTCCCCCCCCCCCCTCTCTATTGTTCTCCAACTTGCTTTGGTGCTTGTGATATATTAGAGGCACGACATTTGAGGTGCTAAGATTCTCAGAAGTTCAAGATCTTCAATCAACAATCAAGGTAATCATCTAAGCATGTTTTATTTGTTATTTTTGGATTTTGTATGATAGATCTAGGGTTTGTAGTTTTGGATGATTTGCATGTACAATTAGAGAAACCTAGATCCAAAGCTTTAGGGTTTGCTTGTCCACTATAAGATTCATGTAATGCTCAAAACCCATCAGTGGTACCAGAGCCTAGGCTGTTTTCTATTGTATTTGATGCTTATTTGATCATTCATTGCTTTAGAAAATCAAAAATTCTGCCCTCCGACATCTTAACTCGTCGAGTCCCCAGATGAACCCAACGAGTCAGATGAACTCGACGAGTCCATTAAGCGACTCGACGAGTCAAAGTGTCAGGGAGCAAAACTTTCGGGATTTCGGCCTATTTTGATTGGCATAATTACTAAAAACGTTTTTGATTAATAAAATTCAATTTTTATTAAATATATATGATTATCCTTATCAAAATAGAAGATAATTGCAATTTAATTAGATAATTATTGCCTTATATGATAATCCTTACTTATTTGAATTATTTGATTGCATTATCTTACTATGTAATTGGATTAGGTCAAATTTAGATAATCACTAATTAATTGTTTAATTAAATTATTTTTAATTTGATCTAGATAGTTTTGAAAAGTTTCAAAACTTGCCTTCAAGTTTTGGAATTTAAAATTTTGATTAAAAGTTTAATTTTGAAATATTTAAATTCTAAACCCTAGAATTTACAAGTTTAAAATTCAACCCTTATACTATTATAATATTACAATATTAATAATATATATTTATAAGATTAAGCTAGTCTTACCATTAGTAGGCCTCATTCACGAAGTCGATCTATAATGGGGGTATAAGGTTGCTGCATATAAAATGTCAGTTTAATGGGCGTCCACTCTCACCCACCGCTTCCTTGATTGGTGGAAGGTCGTTAGCCGAACAGGTAGGATAGGGCAACTAATTCCTCATTAAAAGTATAATGCTTTAATAAAGTAACTAAATGTATTTATAAAATTCCCAATCTTAGTTATTTTAGGAAAAATGTGAAATGATGCTATTCCATGAAATTACAATTTGTATCCCTACCAAGTCATTAGCGGAGCGTGCGTGGATAACCGACACACTAATATGGACTACCAATGGTGGCAAAGTGTGACTCGATGTTTATCATAGATCAATGGAGTGTGTGTGGTTAACCGGCACATTCATTAGGTGGTAACTGACATCGAGGGTGCCAAGTATATTTGCATGGTTATTCACACCTTGTTTGTGATCCTCGGTATTCCAGTCACAAACTTGAAGGGCATGTCGAGATTTAAACATTCCATTGAAAAGTTCAATGAATCTCAAAAGTTCTAGAATTTAAATACATTTAAAACTTAATTTCCTTTTCGTTTTTCATGATGTAAGTTAGTGAATCGTCATTCACTTACCTTCAAATTATTTGTAGTTTGGATTATGACATCCCTCTTCTAAATTGTAAATAATGTTGTTGAATCCTAGCCCTAATTTCTCATTTGGGTGTTTAATTAGGGATTTTTATCTAATCAAACTTTGTCTCTTTTCTATTTCAGATGTCTACTTTAAACAACAACAATGCTTCAGGTTCGATCGCTTCCGGCTCATTCTCACTCATGAACTTGTGTGGGAGGGTGATTTTTGAAGGGGACCAATTTCAATGATTGGATCCACAACATCCGAATGGTCACCCACTACGAGGTCAAGGAGTATGTTCTCGATAAGGAACTGAAAGAGGTGAATGTAAACACTGTTACTCCCGAAGAAATCGCTGCTTTCGAGGCTCATGAGCGAGATGCTACGAAATTCCATTGCATCATGCACGCAACCATGACCGCCGAACTCCAAAAGTCCTATGAGGACTACTACCCCTATGAAAAGCATCAAGATTTGATGGATAGGTACCATCAAAGCGAAGGCAGAAAAGGTACGAGATCATTGCTGCAATGATCACTACCAAAATGAAGGACAGAGAGTCTGTCATGGCTCACTTGCAGAAAATGAAAAGATACATGGACCGCTTGCTGAAGTTAAATGTTAAATTCAACAAGGAGCTGGCCATATATATCATTCTTCATTCCTTACCTCCTTGTTACAACCAGTTCCGCATGACCTACCACATGAACAAGGAGGACGTCACCCTAAGCAAGCTTCAAGGCCTGCTAAGGACTGCTGAGAGTAGTTTGAAAGACAAATGCGTTGCATCAAGTCCTACTACCACCCCCGTCTTGGCAATTGGGAAAGGGAAGGGAAAGAAGAGGAATACTCCTTCTAAGAGCCACAAGGGAAAGTCCCATAATGGAACCTTTTCTAGTGGAAACAAAGTTGGTCCCGTTGCACCCTCCTCCAACCTGAAGGATGCAGAGTGCTACTACTGCCACGAGAAAGGGAATTGGAAATGAAGATGCCCAAAGTACTTGCAAGATATCAAGGATGGGAAGATAAAACCATCCTTCATGGGTATTTATACTATTTATTCTAACAACTCATCACATGCTATGTCTTGGGTCCTTGATACAGGATGTGGTTTTCACATTTGTTCTGATTTGTAGGGCCTAAGAAGAAGTAGGGATGTGAAGCATGGGAAGATAAACTTGATCATGGGGAATAGGAAAGCGTCGCCTGTCACCAAGATCGGAGTTTACTCTTTAGAGCTTAGTAGTGGGTTAGGTCTAGATTTGAATAATTGTTGTTACTCGTATGAAATGACACGAAACATTATCTCTTTTCATGGTTTGTATAAACAAGGTTTTAGATTTTCGTTTGATAATGAAAATCTATTAATGCTTTCTAGAATGGTTCTTTCTATTTTGAAGCATTGCCTTGTAATGGAAT